TTACATATGTATTTACTGCGGTTCTACCATTTCAACCTCAGCAAACAGACTCACTATTTAAACATTTAGTAGTATCGATATAACTGTTTCAAATAAGAAACATCACATGCAATATAAGTGTTCTCTATTTTACCAAAAATATTTAAATTTTCTATATATAATTAATGATGTCATGACCCGACATCTCGATTAATTTTTAACATATATGTATATAAAACGTCACATCCAAAATAAAACCTAAACACAAAGAGGGGCATATAACCATGGTGATGGTATCTCTCTTATTCTATATACATATAATTATATATATATATATATGTATGTGAGGATGTGTATAAAACACACATAAAAGTAGTCAGCAGAAATACATACAAATAGTCGCATGGTGTGGTTTGGGAGGGCCCATAATCTTGTAGAATGCCCCAAGTCTTGTGTTGAAATTTTACTCAAAGTGAGTTTTACCTACCAAGACCCAATAATTGTCAATTTCTAAGAATGTTTCTCTAGTTTACATACTAAGATTATCCATTATAATATATATATTTATATATTCTCTGGGATTAGGTATTTCCCATGATCATTTATGTAAATGTTACCTCCAAGTATTGGTTTATTTTATTTATTTCCTAATATTTTTATCACCTTTAATTAGCCTTTAAAGTAAGTATAGGTCAACTAGTTGATATGAGTATGATTGGTAATCATACTTAACTTAAGCGGTAGGAATTTTTGTGGCTTAAGTGGTAAAAAGAAGGTAATTAGGCTAAATATATGTTTACTACATGGTGAAAATAGTACTCGTGATTATATCCTACATATCTTGCCAAAAAACAACATAACAAGCGCAACAGTGAACATGAAATGTTCCTCGTGAACATGTGGTCCGTTTTGTGCATAAATAGTCTCATGATGGATATATAAAACAAAATCATGTCACCACGAAAAAGCTAGTATAAAACACTATTATGCATATTTTCGAACTGTGAGTTCACTAAGAATCAAATGCATGTATTCGATTCATGAGTACATATATATATATATATATATATATATATATATATATATATATATATATGCATAAACAGAAGCACAACTTAGTCTTATAAAGTTTCAAAACTATCAGATTCACAATCTCTAATAAAACTCGTAAATTTCCTAATTCATATGACCTTATGCATGAATATAATTACTATAATTGTTCTACTTTGGCTGTTAATATACTAAAACAGCTGTATTTGAAACTTCAAACCTATTCAAAATAAAATATATGCGGATTAGTTGGTACTTTGCAAGAGATATAAATAAAAATATTTAAAATTGTAGAATAATTATAATATAAATACGTCTAAAATATTATATAATAATAAGAAAATAATATAAACCAAATTTATATTTTAAGAATACATATTAACAAATATGTTTTCTATTTATTTTTATTACTAAATCATATCTATGTTATAATAACATACAACTCAAATAATATTTTATTATTATTTTACATGTTAGCTTTTTGAAAAATATTCTACACTTAACATTGTATATATATATTTAATTATGTTAATGCACTTATATACATTTCTGGAATTAGGAGTATTTTTTGAAACACTTTTTTTTTGAAACACTGAAATGATCTTTGCCAGAAATGAAATCTTATAAAATGAGGATCTGTTCGAGCCCGGCTTTGTATTAAACTCAATTGGTAACTAAAACACACAACTCCATAACCAGAACGAAGAAAACAATCACCGACTATAAAAGATAGTTTTCTTTCGCAGTTTAGTTCGACCAATATTTCGTTCTTCCATTGTTCATCGATTTGCGATTATTTTATTTAATTATTTTATTTTAATTTTTATAAAATCTTACCCAATATAAAATTATAGATAGATATTGGGTAAAGAACTGAAGAAGGAAGAAAAGAACAGTGCCGCAGGATCTGCGGTGGGGATTTGGACATTCAATGATCTTTACCGTTTGAGAGAAAGCCGACCATTGATGCGCACACCAATGCAATTGCTTCCCCTTTTTTCTTACAAAATTTCTTTTATATGATAACTTCTATAATAAAATGGTATAAGTAATAACATAAGAGAAATATATATTTATATATATAATATTTTTGGTTTTATATTAGTCATGCATGTAGAATAACAATTTACAATCACAATCCCAAAAGCTTAATTATCGTGAACATATTTCAGTTTTCTCTAGGGTCCTCCTACTTGATTAGCACTCTTTATTTATTGTTCTTTTTTTTTGAGAAAAGATCTTTATTAATTTATGAATTCTCATGTGTGTGTTTTATTTTCTTATAACTCAAAACTTCATGATGAGGACGGCATCATTTTATGTGAATCTAAACTCTGAATCAAATTCCAACACAAGCAAATTCATCGGACAATGCTTCAATTTTAGCACAAAACTAACAAATTCTTAAACAATATTATTTCCTTTGTCGGTTGGATTGATAAAACTCAATCCATAACCAATCTCTACAGTGTAAGGCAATGCAATATAGTGAAATCGAACTCCGATGAAGTGATTGCAGAGGTGAACATTTTAATCACTTGATTATAAACATGTTCTCATCATTCTAAAATTTTGTACTTTTAATATCTTTAAAGATAATTGATGATAAATATTTATATATATATATATATATATATTATTCATCTAATTTAACTTATTTTCTACTATTTATCTAATAAATCATTTTTCTTTATTTTTTATATATTTTAAATATTAGAACTTATCATTTCATAGTCGACACTTATTTATTCTTATGACATTATATTTTGTAGATTTATACCATATAGGTTTAACTTTGTAAACTATTTTAATGAATCATACTTTAAAAAAATCATTTAATAAAGAATGAATCATAACTATTAGTGAATAAACAATTTCGTATTATGTATACCTTTTTTCTCTCTTGTAAAAGTGTTCACAATAATGACGTCTTTTTAAAACTAAAGGGTGTGGTAAACCAGAATCGTACTTAAATTTCAATGTAATAAATTCGTTCATATATACTATTTCGTTAATTTTATCCTCTTAAAACTATTTTTAACATCCCAAACTGATTAAAATGGCCATCTCTATATTTTTGTTGTTTTTATTGAGAAAAGGCGTTTACGATAAGAAAATTTGTTTGGGATGGGAGCCAATCTCCAAAAAGCAGTGACATTATCTTTGTATGATGTATCTGCACCTCATGTGCTTTATTGTATTTTCGTTTTCCTACTTTTGTCTTTATGTTCCTTCTTATGAACATATAATTCTGTTTTACTCATATTGATATAAGTAAACTCCAAATATTATATACAGCCAATATATTAAGATCGAGTAACTTTTTGTTTTGTCATAATTGGCTAAAGATTACCGTCTTTGGTGAATGCTTTTATTTTGTTACTCTTCAACCTAGCTAGCCCTAATCCTCTAGGCTATTCATATCATCTTTACTTACATTTAAACGTAGTTTTGTATGAAATTGCGTATATGGTTTTAGGTACTTTTGGATGTATTTGCATGATTTTAGTATAGCAATTTGATAATCAAAAATCATGTTTCTTATACAATGAACATATCAGTACCTGTTATATATAGACCTTACATATAATCATCTATAATTATTAATTAAATTAGATACTTCTTCTCTTTGACAAAGAGTGTCATTTTGACATTTTTCCATATTAAAAACAATGATTAAAGTACATTTCTGTTCTCATTAATTATACATATTTAACCAATAATATTTTAAATAAATAAAATTATTATAATATCAATGCATTTTAACTAATATTAAGATCAAAGTAAGTATAAATTGTGTCAAAATTCTGAAATAACATTTTTATATAACCAAAAAATATCAAAAATGACATTCTTTATAAAACAGAGAAAATTTTTAACGAGAAATGAATAATAAAAGGTTCGGATTTTCAACTCATCTTAGTTTAAAAAGATTATGGTAACCAAATCATTACATCCAAACATAGTATTACTATTACAGATATTCTTATAACCCATACTTTCATATTTAATAAGTACATGAATTAAGATTTAAATATTGCCAAAAATTATGCATGATTAAATAGTATGCGATTTTTTAAAAAATGGTATATGCGACAAATCAATCATAACCAAAAGAATTTTGTGAAAATCTGATTTTTACGGATACTGCACTTAAAATCTAGTTCATACGACTCGAATCGATTAAGAACATCATAAATTGGGCTAAATTGTTTTAAACCAGTTTAAATCGATATAAATTAGTATAAATCTGTTAAAATAAATAATAATTTTAGTAAAATCCACAAAAAAAAAATTATTTTGTCTTGTATATCTAATTTTAATAATTTATGAAATAATTTTATTATTAAAATCAAAAATAAAATATTTAATACAAATGTAAAATATATATAAATTAAACGTTTAAATTTCTACAGTTTGAAATTTCACTCATGAATTTCTCAAAATAATTTGCAAAAAAATGCGATTAGATTTTCGTCTAAATAACAACTAATAAGATATATTATTTGGAAACTATATAATAAAGACAGATAATCAGTAATTTATAGAATTATGTATTTCCGTTTTGTATAATGTCTACTCTAGAAATGTTCTATGCAAAACACGTTAATCAGTCTTAACCACTACCGTTTTTTCTAAACCATGTTCTTTTAGTAACACAACCTCCAGTTAAAAAAGTTGTCTTAAAAGTTCTACAAAGAATAAGTACCTATATATCTGAATGAAATAATTACTTTGCGTAGACTTTCGTATTTGACCTGCTCTTTTAGTTTTTTTTTTTTTTGGGTTAATAGTTTTCACTTCAGGTTGCACCAAAAAATAAAATCACTTCACAATTAATTCTCTCTCTCTCTCTCTCTCTCTCCCCATCCCATCACAATCTCCATCTTCATCTCCATCCTTGTGTCTTCTTGTATAAAGATAATCCCACAAGAGTAAAAACTATTCCCTTCTCTCTTTTTCTCTTCACCATGACTGATCCTTATTCCAATTTCTTCACAGGCTGGTTCAAGTCCAATTCCTTTCACCATTACCCTAATTCCTCAACTAACCCTTCTCCTCCTCCTCCTCCTCCTCCTCCTCAATCTTCCCTCTTCTTCTCTCACTCCGGCGACTTCCACCGTCCACCGCCACCACCAACTCCTCCTCCTTCCCCTCCTCTCCGTGAAGCCCTCCCTCTCCTCAGCCTCAGCCCCGCCAACAAACAACACCACCACCACCATGACCATCAAATTCAAGAACCACCTTCAATCTCCATGGATGTTGACTACGATCATGATCATCACCATCAAGATGATCATAACCTCGATGACCCTGACCATGACGTCACGGTTGCTCTTCACATAGGCCTTCCAAGCCCTAGTCCTCAAGAGATGGCCTCTTTGCTCATGATGTCTTCTTCCTCCTCTTCCTCTAGGACCACTCATCACATGAACGACAAGATGAAAGATCTCGACAACGACTACCTTCACGCCGCCGCCGGAGGAGGTGAGGATGACGATGAAGATTCAGTCGGCGGAGACGGTGGATGTAGAATAAGCAGACTCAACAAGGGTCAGTATTGGATCCCTACACCTTCTCAGATTCTCATTGGCCCTACTCAGTTCTCTTGTCCTGTTTGCTTCAAAACCTTCAACAGATACAACAACATGCAGGTTCTTATATCAAAACTCGCCCTAATTATATGCATTTATTTTGAAAAAAAACTCGTTTTATTATGTGTAAATTACTTTCTTTCTTCATTTTCTGAGTAAAACCAAAAGGTAAAAAACTAAAGAAAATTTGTTGCTAAGTAAGTTTCCTCGAAAAGACAAAAAAAAAAAAAAAATAGTCTTCAACTTTAATCTGTGCACGTATATGTAATACTGTTTTGAAATATATTAAATGACGTAGTCTTTGCTCGCTGATGCATGAATAAATCATTGCATTACAAAGAACCGAGAGATTTGAGATACTGTGAAAGACTGAGACTGAGATTTAACAAGACAGTAAATGTTCTTTATGTCTTTAGTACTTTCAGAGTCTCTGTGTCTTTGCTGCTTTTTCTCTAGTCTGTCATCTTTTTCCATGTATGAGAGTCCTTAAATGTCTAACGTGTAAAATAACAGTACTCATACGATTTCAAATAAATATATTTTTTCAGTTAATATAATCATATATATATGTATGGCTCATTTTCTCTATATGTCAGCTTGATAAGATCTTGTAATGAACATGAATTAAGCATTTTGCTTTTGAAGTGTACCCTTTATTATTTTGTTTACCCTAAGCATGCATTTGTATATTTCATTATTATCTAGTTTAGTTTATGAAGTATATTTATCACATTTGAGCATTTGTGTAGCATCTTTGCTGGATAAAATTTTCGTGTCTATTACATGTTATATGATTCAAGGTCAGCATGCAATATGTATGATGGTTAGAGTTATCATAACTTCATAGAGTAGACATATGTGACCAAAATGGCTAATTGACACATCATACCTAATCAACTTTTCGGACATACTATGATTTATTCACGCCCTGCATGATCATATCTATATATACACGATTTGTGTTTACAGATGCATATGTGGGGACATGGATCACAATACAGAAAAGGACCCGAATCTCTAAGGGGAACGCAGCCAACTGGAATGCTGAGGCTTCCGTGCTACTGCTGCGCTCCAGGCTGTCGCAACAACATTGACCATCCAAGGGCAAAGCCTTTGAAAGACTTCAGAACACTTCAAACACATTACAAGAGGAAGCATGGAATCAAGCCTTTCATGTGTAGGAAATGTGGAAAGGTTTTCGCGGTCCGAGGGGACTGGAGAACACATGAGAAAAATTGCGGAAAGCTTTGGTATTGTATTTGTGGATCTGATTTCAAGCACAAGCGATCTCTCAAAGATCACATCAAGGCTTTTGGAACTGGCCATGGAGCTTATGGCATTGATGGGTTTGATGAAGAAGATGAGCCTGCCTCTGAGGTAGAACAATTAGACAATGATCATGAGTCAATGCAGTCCAAATAACTTATATATATTAGTATAAGTACTTAGTTTTTTCAGTATATATATTAATTCTATGAGTGCCTAAATCTATGGACCGAGTTTTGATGGAGGTAGGGCTTCTCTAGTAAGAGCTATATGATCATCTAAGTTGTCATATACACAAAATGATCAGGATCACTTGGAATATTTCATAATTGTATCTCTAGTTTTCTACTTAAATTTATTACAAAGGAATGTGTAACTCCAACTAATGAGGTTCGCCACGGTATCTACTTGTTTATATTATTTTGGAATTAGTTTACTTTTCGTTTCGAAGGAAATAAATCATAAACGTTTGACCTATATTTGATAGATAATAAAATACTACAAAAGTAGATGCTATCCATTCATGCCTGCATTATGTTAAGATTTTTCACGAAATATATTATATTCTCTAGATCATAATGAATATTTCCATAATTTAATTCGAGTAATAACATTTTTTTTCTTTCTTTCTGAAAGACAGTTGCTTTCTAGTGGTGTTATCTTTGAATTTTTTAGTTAGTAGTACTTAAATAATGCTACTTAATTGTCTAGTGACATCATGGAGAATAATGAGAGAATGGACACTAGAGAATATTACTACTCAAGTGCTAAGCTTTCTTAGGAAGATCAAATATCAAGTTAAAGATTATCATACTTCATTTATTGTTTTATAATGATGTGATGATGCTATTGTGGATGCTATATGGTTGAAAAATATTATAATACATATATGTATGTCGATCTTAATTTTGTGATAGTTATCTATTTATATGTTGCTCTAATAATCAACAACTATGTACTTATTTCGTTTGCCAGATAACTTTTGTTGGTTACCAATTTATCATATTTACAAATCCCTAATACATAGTTGACTGTCTTACCCTAACATGCTAACTTTGAAAAAACCTAACATGCTAACACCAATGCGAATAAACTCATTAATTCACTGGTCAGCGCAAATAAAAAATGGTGACAAATACTCAAAAATGAAGATTCTAAAAACTTATATTTTCGGAAAGATTGCTAACTTTTATAATTTAATTTGATTTAATCTATATATATAATGCATAAATAATGTAAAGTATAATGCATTGTTATTCAATCATTTTTTTGTGTTAAAGCATGTAATTATATGTTCTTTTATTTTCACAAAAAGTCGTTCTAAAATTTTAATTTTGTTCCACAAAAATGTCATTTTACATATTTAATACAGATTTTAAACAGAATTTAATTTTTAACCTCACTGTCTTAATGTATTAAGTGGAATGATAAATTATTATTAATAGATTAATTAAGAGCAAAAAAAATTGTTTACTAGTTTTGTTACTTAATGTGAAAATGTTAAAAGTGATTTTTGAAACATGGAATATGTTTAACCAATTTTCACTGGCTTAGTTTCAATAAAATTGTCTTATGCACTTGTGTTCACGCTAATTTTTCTAATTAATAATCACCATGTTAAATTTGCATTTGGTAAATTAAATGCAATTCTTAATCTTGATAAGAAAACAAATCATACTACCAGACTGCAAGTGATTGTTCTTGTTATTGTAGTCACGTTTTGTTGTGTGTCAGTTTGTTGGTTGTGCTAGAATTCAAGATCCAATTTGGATCTGATTGTGTAACTAGGATTACAGTTAAAGGGAGGTTTTTCTTCCAGCAAATAGCTTTTTCAATATGCTCTCTTTTTTTCTTTTCTACCTTTTGTTAGTGGAGACATATTTGCTCGTTGAAAGAACATCAGACCTCTTTATCTATAAATGATTCACTTTTACAGTTTTATCTTAAAATTCGAAACCAGATGATTATCTCTCTGTTGAGGCTTACATATACACATAGATTTAACCTAATTTCATTTATGTATAAAGGTATGAGTAAACAGTGATATTCCTTTAGTGCTGCATATGCATACGTATGCATGCAGTCATGTATATACACATTTACTTATAAGTGTATACCCATGTATGAATGTACACGAAGTTGATGATAAATGGTGTGAAGAAGGGGCAAAAAGTAATGTGAAGGAGAGTGATAAAAGACAAAAGAGAAGAGAGTGGAGCCCTAAGGGTGTGATGGGTTGGGCAGATTTGGGAGCAAAGATTGATGGTATCAACAGTTCTTTTTACTCTCTCTCTCTCACTTACTGTTATTTGATTTGACATCTCATTTTTTCTTTGACCATCTCTCTCTACCCACACACTCACACAAATGGCATAACTTTCATAACTCCTCCAATTAAAACCCACATGCTTGCTTCTTTTATATTCATTTCATATTCAAGGCTATACTACCTTTTTAAGTATTCGAACCAAATAAAAAATGCTACACTAATTGTGTCCATATACCGTAATTTAGTACATAAATACATCTTTTAAATTCAACTCCTTCTGTTTTTAGGAGATATTTTTTGTGTGTACGTATATTAAAAAAATTATATTCAAATTATATTATGAATACATCATATTTTCCGTTATTATATTTTACAAATTTTAAACCTATCGTATTTGAATAAATGCTTTTTATAGTTTACCAGGATTAATTAAAAAAAATACATAAAAATGTAATTATATTTTAAAAATAGCAGGAGTATTAGTTATCATATTTTCAGGTATTTAATTTAGAATCATGGTTATGGTTACCTTTGAAACCAACTGCATTGTGCCATTTGATGATCTTAGCATGGAATATCACGAAAACATGTCTATAGACTATAGTAAATGGCAAGATTTGTTAATGATTTGGCATCAATTTTCTGAAAATTATTCGGGGGAACCTTTAAGAATATACGTAATACGGTAATCTACGAAGCCCTCATTCATAGTGATTGATGTATATAATATAGTGTATGGAATATTGTTACACTGGCCACAAGCAACAATTAAACAGTTGATAAACTGAAAAGGATATAAACGCACATCTTTAAATAATGTAGGATTCAGACAACATTTATTACCAATCAATTTCCTACCCCTTTGTTGGGAGATATAGACCATCCCTACCTATCTTCCTTTGACCCCTCTCATCTTCTCAACACTTCTGAACATTTCTCTACCGATAAGCACTTAAAAGTGGTTCCTACTGAATGTTGTTATATCATATCTTCCATGCGCATAAAATGTAAGTCATGTATAACTGACAAATAACATGGACTCCCTCCGTTTCACTTATACCATAATTCTAGTTTCGAAGAAAATGTTAGGTTTATATACCGTAGAAAACCTCTGCATCAAATTTTGTCACTTTATATTTTTCAGGAGTCTATTTATTACTATAATTATATACAGTATATAGTAAAATATCAAAGCAAGCATATCCAATAATTTTTAAACCATTTCGTTAGAAATCAAATTGAAAATTAACTAAAATAAATGCAAAGTATGTTTAATTTTAGTATAAGTATATAAATAAACCATATATATTAGTAACTAAATTTTTAAAAGTAATAAGAATTTGAATTCAGATTTTACAACTTAAGAACAATGCTATCTAGAGTTTTAAATTGCTTAGAAACTTATATCCGGTTGAAGGATAAAAATATATTACATTACAAGACAAACAGAAACATCAAAAATAAATGGAAAATTTTGTGATTATACTAATTTAAAATTTTCGAATCTCGAAACTGAATTGTTCTATGTGAGTGTGCAAAAGACATTTTCAAAATCCGAGCAATATATTTGGATTTTCCCACTGGTGCTGGAAAGAATCCGAACATTGGAGTTCACTTTGTTCGGTAATTATGCTGTTACATTAACTACACAGTACGTTCATAAAACCTAAGTGTATTCATTGGTTGTTTTAACGTTAAAAATGTTTCTTGTCTGAAAAAAACTTCAACAAAGGCCTTAAAATCTGCTTTTAAAATCCCGAAGCTACATATTCTACTAGATTCATTAAACGACGTTTTAAGTACTTTACAATTTCCTATATTCATGTCGAGAAAATGAAAATGTTTAAATTAGTTGCTCAAACTTATTTATTTATTCACTGTTCATATTCCAAGGCTGATCTGAAGGAGACAGCTTTGTCTCCCGTGGCTCAAATCTCCATCTCCCTTACATTTAATTTAATTTAATGGACACACACGTATATGTTATATTTACAGTACTGTTATATTTGAATTTATCCTGGGTAAGAAAATTCTTTATTTAACGTATTCGTTTTGTCTATACATATACGTAAAAGATCTAACGAAATCGCCTATGAAAAGAAACATATAATTAAGTATTACATAAAGAAGATTAATGTAGCTATGTATGATTTTCGACAACTTTTGTTTAATGGAGGCCCCAACATGCAAAAGAAAAAGGGAGAAAAAGCCAAATTGAGCTTGCCTCATGATTTAATCACGGGTACCTCAAAAGAGAAAACAAAATAAATTAATTTCATATTTATTTTTATTTTTTTGTTAAAACCATATTTATTTTTGAAATAGTCGAATTTGAAACACATAAAATAGTCTTATAACTAATACTCACTCTGTTTCATATTAAGTGTCGTTGTAGAGAATTTTTTGTGTTACAAAATAAGTGTGGTTTTTGGTTTTCAATACAAAATTTATTAATTTTATTATGTAATTTGTTTTTCTATTGGTTAAAATATGGTTAAGTGCATGAGTAACTGTGTTTTTATATAGGAAATATGTAAAATTAATTGTTTTCTTAATCCGTATACAGATCTGTAAAATGACACTTATAATGAAACAAGAAGAAACACGATATGTTATTGTACTGAGAACTCAATATTTAATTATTTTAAAGTATATTACATTTGAATTAGTATAACACAATATATAAGGAACACGAAGAAAAGAAGAACTGAAGAAGAATACAAGATGGAACTCGGTAACATGTAGGTATTTTATATGTGCCGTTTAATCCACCCCTAACTACATGCAAATTTTCATATACGTGTATTAATAGCTTGTTTTTTAATCTTATTCGTGATTTTTTTTTCTAAAAAAAAATCATTTTATTGGACCGTTTCGTATTTTGGATTTCATCTGAACAATTTAAAATCATCTTGTTTCTTCTTAAAACTATATGTTCTCCTCCATTATTAGTCGAGCGATATCGAAAATTTGATGCTATTAACAAAAGTATGATCCATTTTGGCGAATAAATTATGATAGATATTTTTTAAAACATTGTTTTTTATTCTTGTTACATCGATACTATATTATATAATCGTTAGAGTTGTGGTCTCGTTGGCTCGTGATCATTGTCCGAGCGTGTTCTTTTGTCCATATTCTTTATTTGATCAACTTTATTTTTTCTACTCCTGTTAAAG